AAGTTGTGTGGGGTTTTTGTTTGTTTGTTTGTTTGTTTGTTTTTGTAATGGCCTCTGTCTGTTGAAAAAAGAATTTTCCTTGATGAGGGGTGAGGACTACACTTACATATGGACATGAGGACAATATTTAGAATGTAGTTAAGGATTATGCTGACTTTCTAGGTGGGGACAGAAGATCCTCCTCCAAGATCCATGACTTTACTAGCTGTGGGCAGTTGGCTAGATCACCACTAGTACGCATGATTTCCCTCTTGTTGAGTGGGTACCAGGCCTGATTTTAACATCATCTTCTTTTTGTTACATTTATGTATTTTTTTTTGTATTTATTTTTATAGGGCACATATACCACGGTGTGCAAGTGGCTGACAGAAGACCCCTGGGAAATCTCCTCTCCTTCCTGAATGCAGATACCAGGGTTTGAACTCAGGCTGAATGGCAAGTGACTCTACCCAATACACCTTCTCTATAACCCTAGTAATCTAGTTTTATTTTATTTTATTAAATTTTACTTCATAAAACATTAAAATATTTTTATTATTTTTATGTTATGAATGTTTTTGCCTGCATGTATGTAGATGCACCATGTGTGTGCCTGGTGCCCATGGAGGCCAGAAGAAAATGCCAGATCCCCTGGAATTAAAGACAGCTGTAAGCTGCCTTGTGAGTGCTGAGAACAGAACCTGGGTCCTCTTTGAGTGGGTATAGCTTAGGCATAGAGGTGCACACCTTTAATTCCAACACAGGCGGCAGAGACAGGTGAATCTCTGAGTTCAAGGATAGCCTACTCTATAGAGTGAGTTCTAGGACATCTTGGGCTATGTAGAGAAACCCTGTTTCAAAAATTCCACCCTAAGAATAGGAAGTGCTCTTAACACTTAACTGCTGATCCATCTATCCAACCAAAACATTGTTGTTATCATTAGTGTGTAGGGGTTGGGGGGGGGGAATATAGGCATCATGGCGGGAGAGCGGAGGTCAACTCTCAGGAGACTGGTTCTCTCCTCCTACCAATTGCTTTTCCTCCCCAAGACATCTCCTAGTATCCTCTTTGAATGAGGCTGTTCTTGGACCTGGATCCCTGGTAATGATCAGTGCCCCACTGACCACTGACTCACAGAGCAAGAATATTGCTGACTGCTACCATCACTTAGGCATTACCACCCTGGCTGGTCTAGGTAGAGCTGACTTCTCTAGAGGTCTGAAAAGGCTTCAGTGTCCACTGCTGGTAAAAGGGTGTGGCAGCCATGCAGTGCCTGTGAGCAGGGGGTGGCCCCAGAGCACCATGTATGTTATGGAAGGATGGGTGGAAAGGGAGCCCAATCAACGTAGAACATGAAGGAAAACATTCCCTAGCACAAGCATGAAAGAAATCCACCCAGTGGTGTTGAAGGGCCCAGCCCCTCACCAACCCTCTGCTTTAGCAGCCATGACAGGCTGCAGAAAGCAAGATGTAGGCCTCTGACTCAGCAGCTGAGTTTCTGACCAACTTCCAACCTTGCCCCAGTCACTAGAAAGCCAGATGCCCTCCATGTGGCAATGAACCAATCAGAAGTTAGCTGGTGGATTCTGGATCTGCTATAAAGGTTCTGGATGTACTTTATGATAACAGTGGCATACAGAGCATAGCAACTGCCCTGGGAGGGCCTATAGGCCATAGCAACTAGTTGACCAATCAACACAGGACAGGTTTCCCAAGCTTGAATGTGCACCAATCCTGAGACTGTTGCAGACCCCAGACACTCCCCTTGCCCTACTCAAATAAATTCCCTGCCCCAAGGTCCCTCAGGGTCCTTCTTGCTCAACCCGCCTTGTTGGATGGATGACCCGAGTTAATACAATCATTGGTTATTAAAGAAACCTTTGTCTTTGCATCCAAGAGTAGGCTTCTCAGTGGTCTATTTGGCGTCTCTTGAAGTTGGCATAACACTTGGTGCATTAGACAGAGGAACTTAGTTAATACGGTTAACTCATTAATTAAAGATTCTTTGCTTTTGCATTGGATCGGGTCTCTTGATGAATTTGGAGTTCAGAGTTTGGGCACAACAGTGTTTCAGACAAGGAGTCATTTGGCCTGAGGAACTCTGAGAAGGAGGGCTGGGGGATGAGGGGCTGGGAGACACCAGGGCAACAGCGGCCACCCACACAGGACCAGAGCCAGGCTGAGGCAGCCACCTTGGGACTGTGAGACTCTGCTGTCACTGTCCTTCTGTCACCTGCTCCTTGGTGTGCATCTGCTGGGAATGTGTCTTACTGTCCTCATCCTACCTGCTTCAGCTCAGCTTTGCCACACATGAATGGGTAAAGGATTGACAACATGCCTGGTCTACCCATCTTAAGCTTATAGTCAGAGATTATGCCCTCACCACCCAAACCCACATTTCCAGAGATGGGAAGGATGAGAAAGACAGGATATTAAACTTTATAGGCCTGGCTTGGCGATGAACCACCTATGATCCCAGCACTAGGGAGGCAGAAACAGGAGGATCTCTGAACCTGGTCTACATAGCTTATTCCAGGACACTCAGGGCTACATGGAGAGAGCTTGTCTCAAAAAATAAATAAATAAATAAATAAAATAATTAAACTTTACAAACTCTCATTTTTAAAAAACATTTTTTTTGAGACAGGGTTTCTCTGTGTAGCCCTGGCTGTCCTTGAACTGGTTGTGTAGACTAAGCTGGCCTTAAACTCAGAGATCTGCCTGCCTTCTGAGTGCTGGGATGAAAGACATGCGCCATCAACACCCTTCTTAATTTAACAGTTTTTCCTATTACTGCTCAGTGAAATATTAACTCTTCCTTTTTAATTTCTTTCTTTTTTTGGCTTTTCGAGACAGGGTTTAGAGCCTGTCTTGGAACTAGTTTTGTAGACCAGGCTGGCCTTGAACTCAGATATCCATCTCCCTCTGCCTCCCGAGTGCTGGAATTAAAGGCGTGAGCCAACGCCCGGCCCTTTTTAATTTCTTAAGGATTTATTTTATTTTATGTGTTTGACTGTTTTGCTTGGTGTGTGTGCACCCTGCAGATGACAAAAGAGGGTGTTAAAGTCTCTGGAACCGGAGTGACTAATGGTTGTGAGCCACGTGGGTTCTGGGAACTGCACTGGGGTCCTCTGCAAGAACAAGTGTTCTTAACATCTGAACTATCACTACAGCCCCATGTAGGAGTCTTCTGAGAAGTTTGGTAATAATAAAAATTAAAATTCTTTTGAAAGCTTCATGGTTTCCAGGTGTGGTGGTGCACATCTTTAATCCTAGCACTCAGAAGGCAGAAGCAGGAGAATCTTTGTGAGTTTGAGGCCAGCCTGGTCTACAGAGTGAGTTCCAGGACAGCCAGGGCTACACAGAAAACCCTGTAGTGAAACAAAGAAAAAAAATCATAGTCTATTTCTCATGAAAGCAAAGAGAAAGGGCATGACCACAGGTCCATTGTCCATCCATCTAGTGTCTGTCAGGGTCCTTAGATCCTTCTACCAGCCTGGTGAGCATTCAGGGCCTTTAGTTCAAAGATAAAGACACCATGATTCAGAGAATTAAGCAATTTGCCCAAGGGCTCTCTCTCGTGCAGTAGACAGTGACTACAGCTTTAAACAAGGTGTACCAGACACAAAAGCCTACGCTGTCCCTTAAATCCACACCCAACTACAAAGTGAGCTGGGTAAGGGCCAGAGACTCCTAAAAGGGGAATCAAAGACCACCGCTAACACAACGGGCTTTACTACTCTTTCCATCTCATCTGGAAACAGCATTCCTTGGGTTTGGGCATTCAGTTCAAGTCATGAATGAACTCTGTAGGGCAGAGGCTTGTCCAGCTGTCAGCGAATGACTTCAACAGCCAGTCACTTACTGCCTGACTTTTATTTGCAAAACACAGTCCATAACCTAATTCCTGTAATCAAGAAGTGATGGTCTTGGGGGGTGGGGGTCAGAGAGTGAACACATTGGGTTGCAAGCAATTTAGCATCCTCAGAAGTTAGGCTGGGTGGGCAGTGGTGGTACACCCCTTTCTTTGATCCCAGCACTCGATCTGGAGGCAGAGACAGGTGGACCTCTGTAGCATCCAAAGCTACAGAGAAACCCTGTCTCGAAAAACAAAAACAACAACAAAAAAGAATTGAGACGCTCCCTGGGAAGGTGTAATAAACATTTGCAGGCAAGAAAAACCAGGTGCAGAGTAGAGGGGGAGTCTAGGCCCAGGAGCATCTCCTTGGAGGAGAGGCTGTGGAAAGGAAAGGTTGGTGCAGGGAAAGAATATAAATAATTGCGTAATTTGTAAGATTAGTCCAGGGTTAATTACACAGTGGAGGTGAAAGCATCGACCTCCCACAATGAGAGTAAAGATCTTGGCCATGGCAAGAAGTTGGAATGGATGAAATAGAAGGAAGGATGAGTGTGATTTAAGTAACTGTTCTGAAGTGGAGGCAAGCTTGGGAGCTTTGTGGAAAGTGAAATTATCTTTTAGATCAGGAGACCTATAGTAGACACTAGCTTCAAAAGACTTGGAAAAGTCTGGAAGTGTGGCCTCAGGGACTATGCACATATTCAGCATAGGCTGCACCCATGGGCCGCAGCGATCCAAGGGTCCGTTGGCCACCAGCCGGTCCAAGGCCCTGGGAGGTGCCGACTGGGCACAGCTGGGCGGGAACCACGCCTGCTCTTGAGCAGGTGGCCGCGCAGATTGCGCAGCTCCCGGGGAGCGCGCGCGCTGGGGGGGGGGCGCGGGGCGGGCGGGGCGGGCGGGGGCGCGCAGGGGCGCGGGGGGTGTGTGTGCCCCGGGAGCCGGGGGCGGGCCCGAGCGCGCGGGCCTTGGCACGCACGCGCAGATGGGCCGCGGGCCCCAGAGGCAGAGAGGAGGGGGAACGTGAAAGAGGGGGGGAGTGTGGAGCGTATTTCCGCTCTGGCGGACAAATAATCCTGGCCAAAGGGGAGGCACGACTGTCCAGCCCTTTAACCGCGTGTGGGTGCCGGGGAGGAAAGGGGGGGTCGAGGAGGGGAATCCTGCTCCTTTAATTCCCTCCCCTCTTCCTCCTCCCCGAGTCCTCGCGGACGCTGCGCTGCGCGGGGCCTTGGAACACTCTGCACGAGCTGCCCCCGCCCCTCCCCCTTCCGCCCACGCGGAGCCGGCCCGCGCGCGCGCCCCGTGCACCCCCGCGCCTGCGCGCTGCCCAGGGCCTGCCCGAGTGTGGGGGGCGCCGCTGGCCCCGGGGGGGTGGGGGACCAGGGGGGAAAATCGGCACGCGGAACCGGGCCAGGTGAGAGGCGCGTGCACCCAGGGTCGTGAGTCTGGGGGGGGGCGTGCCACGGAGATCTGCTCGTGGGAGGGGGGCGTGCACGACCTGTCCGGGCGGCGGGAGGATAAGAAAAGGGGGACTCACAGCAGCGCGCGGCCCGGGCTAGAGGAGAGGCGGGTGAGGAGAGCCTGCTAGTGGGGGCCACCCCAGAGTGGCAATCCTCGGGATCCTAACCCCCATCCACCCCTTTCTCCATTCTCCCACGGGCGCGCGGGCCGCGGGACTTGGGGGTGTGGACGCCGCTGCCCCGCCCCCGGGAACCACGCCTCCCTCCGCCGAGGGACCGCGCCTCCGAATTGGGGAAACTGAGGGAGGCGCACCGAGACTAGGGAGGTAGGGATGAGGGGTCTGGAACCGTGGCTTCCGACAGCCGGAGACCTTTGTCTCTGACCGTTTTCCTTCCCACCAGGGCAGTCCACTCCCGCCACAATGGCCTCTGGGGTGGAAGTCTTGCGTTTCCAGCTGCCTGGCCACGAGGCCGCTACTTTGCGGAACATGAACCAGCTCCGTGCGGAGGAGCGGTTCTGCGATGTGACCATCGTGGCTGACAGCCTCAAATTCCGTGGCCACAAGGTCATCCTGGCGGCCTGCTCACCGTTCCTCCGGGACCAGTTCTTGCTGAACCCCAGCTCGGAGCTGCAGGTCTCGCTGATGCACAGCGCACGCATTGTGGCGGACCTGCTCCTCTCTTGCTACACGGGTGCCCTGGAGTTCGCTGTCAGGGACATCGTGAACTACCTGACAGCTGCGTCCTACCTGCAAATGGAGCACGTGGTGGAGAAATGCAGGAACGCCCTCAGCCAGTTCATTGAGCCCAAAATAGGCCTCAAAGAGGATGGGGTCAGCGAGGCTAGCCTCGTGAGCAGTGTCAGTGCCAGCAAGTCCCTCCTTCCTCCAGCCAGGACCCCAAAGCCAGCCCCAAAACCCCCACCCCCGCCTCCTCTACCCCCTCCGCTCCTGCGACCCGTGAAGCTGGAGTTTCCGCTGGATGAGGACCTGGAGCTGAAGGCGGAAGAGGAGGACGAGGATGAGGATGAGGATGTTTCTGACATCTGCATTGTCAAGGTGGAGTCTGCCCTCGAAGTAGCTCACCGGCTCAAACCCCCAGGAGGCCTAGCAGGAGGTCTGGGTATTGGGGCCTCTGTGAGCAGCCACCTGGGGGAGCTGGCACAGAGTAGCGTGGCCCCCAACTCTGCAGCCCCACCGCAAGGTGTGGTGAAGGCCTGCTACAGCCTGTCAGAGGACGCTGAAGGGGAAGGCCTGTTGTTGATCCCAGGAGGCCGGGCCAGTGTGGGGGCCACCTCAGGCCTAGTGGAAGCAGCAGCAGTGGCCATGGCTGCCCGGGGGGCGGGGGGCAGTCTGGGGGCAGGGGGCAGCCGGGGACCTCTGCCTGGGGGCTTCTCAAGTGGAAACCCCTTAAAGAACATCAAATGCACCAAATGCCCGGAAGTGTTCCAGGGCGTGGAGAAGCTGGTCTTCCACATGCGTGCGCAACATTTCATCTTCATGTGCCCTCGCTGCGGCAAACAGTTCAACCACAGCAGCAACCTCAACCGCCACATGAACGTGCACCGTGGCGTCAAGTCGCACTCGTGTGGCATCTGTGGCAAGTGCTTCACGCAGAAGTCCACACTGCATGATCACCTCAACCTGCACTCAGGAGCGCGGCCCTATCGATGCTCCTACTGTGATGTGCGCTTCGCCCACAAGCCAGCCATCAGGCGGCATCTCAAGGAGCAGCATGGCAAAACCACAGCGGAGAACGTGTTGGAGGCTGGCGTGGCAGAGATCAATGTCCTCATTCGCTGAAGGGGCCAGGAGGCTGGGGGTTCCTGGGCCCGGGAGAATGGGGGGGGCGGGGTTCTGGGCAGGCATACACCTTGAGGGAGGAAGATTGGAGAGAAGACCTTGCCTCAGAGAGCAGAAGACGACGACGATGGAGCCGGGAGACAGGGTTGACAAGGCTGAGGGAATATAGGGTCCCAAAGAAAGATTTCTTTTTGTAGAGGCGCAGGAACAATGTGGAGGGAGAAGAAAACACAAAGGTTGAAAGTTTGGAGAACAGCTCTTTTCCTGGCTACAGCTGCCCAGGGGGAAGATTATAGCGTTTCTTGAGGTGGGGTGGGGGTGGGAATTGTGGGGGGATTGACAGGATGCAGTTTTCTTGTTCCTGTTTAGAATAGATCATGAGGGAAAGGGAGTCGTAGGGGAAACAGGTATGAAGTCCCAGAAAAGTAAGGGGAGGCGGTTCTTGCATGCTGGGGAAATGGGGCAGTAGGTACAAAACTCACCGGAAATGAAAGAAAATATCTGTACCAGGTAAGAGAACAGGGTGGGCGACCTGGGTAGGCAGTGAGACACGGGGGTTACAATAGCAAGAACGGTGGATAGCGGAGGGGTGGGGGGCAGGGCACTTAGGAAAAAGGAAATGAGGACAGCCGTTGGGGGGAGGGAGAGGAGTAGAGACATACAGTATTTTTTAAGAAAACGTATTTTTTAGGATTTTTTCTGGAGTTGGGGGATTTTAGTTTTTCTTTGTTTTCCACAAAATAAAAAAAAAAGAACAAAACATTTTTTTCTTTATATTCTGGCAACTGCATGTGTATGACTACCCACCATAGACAGACTCTCCCAGAGCTAACAACTGCATTCCCGTGCCAAAAGGAGACCAGCCGCAAGCAGGGACTAGGGACATGCCAGTGAGCTCCTCTGGTCAGGAACACGCCCTCCTCCAGTTGGGCAACCTCAACACCCAGGTAGAGAGACCTTATCACACAGGTGATTTGGAAGCCCTGGTGAGAGCATAAACTAAACTCTGGCGGTGCTAGTGTGAGGCATAAACCACAGGTGTCCAGTGTACCCACTGAGATAGCAGGCAGACCATCTGTGAGCAATTTTGGCAAACGGTTCGAGTTTTAAGAAAACTGAAAAATCGGCTAGACTTACATTCCAATGCCTGGAAGACTACAATTCCCAGAAAGCTCTGAAAGGTTCTTAGCCAAAAAGAACTACAGTTCCCATAAGACTTTGAATTGGCCTCGAGCCCAATAACATAACTACCTGCCAGTCCAGCATTGTTTGTGAAACCATACAGATATTTTCAAACTTTGGCCAGCAGGGCTTAGTGCACAAGGGTAATGCTTCCCTCATCTGCTGTCAGGGCCCTACACTTTGTGTGTACCATTCGCTCTCAAGCTGTCAGCTGGATCATGACCCCCGACTGAGAAATGTTTGGCAGAAATGGTTACTGTCAACAGACCACAGTCACCCTTGAGGCTGACGCATTTAGTTGGCATCCCTAGCGCATGTCGTGGCGTAACTCGCCTGGCATACACTGACATTTGGCCCTTGGCTTTGCAAAGGACACTGATCCATGAGTAAATGTGTCTTCCACGAGCCTGTCGCCGGTCTTGTGCACTAGAGGGGACGAGTCTAAAGCCGAGGCCCAGCCTCCTAGCTCGTGGCTCAGAACCAGGAATGATACACTCAGCAGCTGCAGCGGCTCGGGCTTCACGTGTTAGCAAAACCGGGCGGGGACAGGGAAGCCACAGCCCAGCCATGCCTCGCCCCGGGTTCCCTGCAGTGCTGAGGCTAGGAATGAAGGCCCTCTCCCCGGGAGCCTCTAGCACTGGACCTCCCAGGCCACTCCGGGGGGCAAAAATGGCCAAAAGGCCCGCAGCGGCTCCTTTAAGGCGTCTTCTCGCCCTCCCTCCTTGTCCACGTGACCCGGGGCGGCCGCGCGCCGGCTCGGCCCCCCGCGCAAGCGGCGATGGCGGCGGCGGCGGGAGCTGCTGCGGCGGCGGCCGCCGAGGTGCGGAAGGGGAGGGGGAGAGGCGGGTGCATGCCCGCGCGCGCGCCCGGGGGAAGCGCGCACTCGTGCAATGCTCCGGGGGTGCAACGGGGCCGGGGGGCCCGAGACGAACTTGCAGCAAACCAGGGGGCCAACACCGGGGGCCGATGAGGGGACCAGGGGGTGGGAGGTGGGGGGAGTGGGCGCCGAGTCGCGCGTGCCACCGCCCGCTGCCCCTGCGTGGGCGGTGGGCGCCGCGACCCCGGGAGTCCGCGCGAGGGGCGCGAGGGGCCGTCCGCCGGGCTGGGGCGCAGCGGGCGTTGCAGGGGTTGGTGGCCGGGGTCCCCGCGGCCTGGGGGACAAAGGGGGAGCGGCGCGTGCAGCCGGGAGGAGGGGGCGGGGCCGGGGCGCGGAGGCCCCGCCCCCTCCCCCTCCTCTGCTCCCGGCCCCAGAGATGCGGGGTCTGCCGAGAGGGAGGGGGCTGATGCGGGCCCGGGGGCGGGGGCGTGCGGCCCCCACGGGTGGCCGCGGCCGCGGCAGGGGGGGCGCACACCGTGGACGAGGTAGGCCCCGGAGCCTGCTCTCGCTGCCCAGGGCCCAGGCGTCATGGGCCCCCCAGCTGCCTGCCGGGCTGACGGGCCCCCCGGTCCCTTGTCTCCCCTCCCAGGGGGAGGCCCCCGCTGAGATGGGGGCGCTGCTGCTGGAGAAGGAGCCCCGAGGAAGCGCCGACAGGGGTGAGTGCGGCAGAAGCAGGCCCAACCGGACCTCCACCCTCCCTCCCCACCCCCAATACGGGATCCCCGGAGCTAAGGCCCTGAACTTTTCCTTTTCCCCCCTTCCCGACAGTTCATGGCTCTTTGGGGGACACTTCTCATAGTGAGGAAACCCTTCCCAAGGCCGACCCCGACTCCCTGGAGCCTGCCGGCCCCTCCTCTCCGGCCTCTGTCACTGTCACCGTCGGCGATGAGGGGGCTGACACCCCTGTGGGCGCCACACCACTCATCGGGGACGAACCCGAGAGCCTGGAGGGAGATGGGGGCCGAATCCTGCTGGGTGAGTCGCCGGGACAGAGGGAGAGGAAGAGGGGCCGGAAAAGGACCCTTTCTGCCTGCTTGCTTACCCTGCATCCCCTGCCTGCTGCCTCTTTTCTAGGCCATGCCACAAAGTCATTCCCCTCTTCCCCCAGCAAGGGGGGTACCTGTCCCAGCCGGGCCAAAATGTCAGTGACTGGGGCAGGAAAGTCGCCCCCCTCGGTCCAGAGTTTGGCCATGAGGCTGCTGAGCATGCCCGGGGCCCAGGGAGCTGCAACTGCTGGGCCCGAACCCCCTCCGGCAACAACTGCCGGCCAGGAAGGGCAGCCCAAAGTACACCGAGCGCGGAAAACTATGTCCAAACCCGGCAACGGACAGGTGAGAATGTGGAAGTTGGGTGGAGAGAATGGGGGGACCTCTGGGTGGCCACTTTTTTTCTTTTGTTTTTGTTGTTGGGTTTTTCCCCCTCCCCTTCCGGGATTTAGCCTTGGGCCTCTTGTATTCAGATTTTTTTTTCGAATTTACCAATAGGCTACCAAGTGTCAGATGTTGGGCTGGGCTTCATCTGTGACCAGAGTAATTGCTGGCTTCCTGAAGTTTGTGTTCTTGGGGGAGGGGTGGCCCGTGGAGGAGACTGACAGACGTAGAGTTAATTATATAGTTATTGTCCTAATTACTCTTGCCAAAATGACTGTGCAGGCTCAGCCTTCTCTCCTTACTACCTCTGAGGCAGTCAGGGAGCTTTTCCCATACATCTTTTGAGACCACTCTTACATGGCCTAAAGTTTTTCCTGGGAACCCTCCCTGTGGGAAGGCCTCAGGAATGACAGAATGGGAGTGGCAAGAGCCCAGACCCAATTATGACAAGGTTTAAAAGGCTCTAAGTGTATTTTGTGTAGCCTTAGTGTGGGCCTTGTTGTATATTTGGTTTTGGTTTGTTTGGGTTTTGGTTTTTTGTTGTTGTTTGGGTTTTGTTTGTTTGTTTTGGTTTTTTGAGACAGGGTTTCTCTCTGTATTGCTTTGGAGCCAGTCCTGGAACTCAACCAGGCTGGCTTTGAACTCAAAAGAGATCTGTCTGCCTCTGCCTCCCAAGTGTGCCACTAATGGCAGCCAGCCTTGTAGTTTTGGGAGGTTTTATTGTTGTTTGGGGGGGGTGTTTATTTTTATTTGTGTGTGTCTAAAAGTATAGGGTTCCACTGTATCTATCGCCCTGGCTAGCCTCGAACTCACAATATAGACCAGACCAGCCTTTAACTGACAGACTTGCTCTGCCTCCCAAGTCCTGGGGTTGCAGGTGTATGCTATCCACCTGGCTTTTATTTATTTTATTTTATTTTTATTTTTGTCTTTTGAGATGGTCTCATGTAGCACAAGGCTGTCTGAACTTGCTACGATACCAAGGATTTAATCCTAAACTACCTCACCCAGCTTGTTCTTTTTTTTTTTTTTTTTTTTTTTTTTTTTTTTTTTTTGTACAGCTTGTTCTTAATTTTAATCTTTCAGTTTCTTTTTAGCTGGGTTTTTTTTAGGTGCATGGGTACTTTACCTGTGTGTGTGTGTGTGTGTGTGTGTGTGTGTGTGTGTGTGTGTGTGTGTGTGTGTGTGTGTGTATCACCTTGTGTTGTGTGTGCCACCTTGTGTGCCTGGTGCCCTTTGAGGCTAGAAGAGGGCAGTGGACTCCCTGGCCTGGCACTGGAGTTTGAAGTGGTTGTGAGTTGCCTTTAGTTGCTAGGAACTGAACCCAGGTCCTCCACAAGAGCAGCAAGCACTCTTAACCACTGAGCCACCTCTCCAGCCCCTCTGTTGTCTGTATCCAGGGAAGCAATTACCTCATCAGAGTGTAATTACTCTCTGGTACAGAAGTCCATGTTTGCTCAGGCCCCTTCTATAAAATTATGAGAGCAGTCAAAGGCTGGGTGGATCTCATGAGTTCTAGGCCAGCCAAGCAGTCAGTATTTGCAAATGACTTACACGTGTCTTTCTTGTAGTTTAGGTTTGTTATAAATGACCAGTTAATGTGAGTACTACGTGAGTAGTTTTTAAGACTGTTATAGGCACAACTTTTAAAGTTTTTATTTATTATAAATATGTATTGTTATGGTGGAAACTTCACCCCAGCTCCTAGCATCCATTTACCCAGAGTCTGGAATGTTCTGGTGAAGGTTCCACCCAGCCTCCTCTCCCCTGTCTCCCTCCAAACCCTGATCCATCTCAGAAAGCCCGCCAAATGATGGCCCCTCTCCCAGAGATGCTCAGCACCAACTCCCACAGGGTATTTAGACTGCTTCCCAGAAAATAGAAGTGTGATTTTCCAGTCTCTTTCCCCCTCCTCTCTGGGGGACTGGAAAGCCATCTGGAATCGATGTATCCATTGAACGTGGGCTTTTTCTAATTCAGTTTGAGTTGGTCTGATTTGTATTGCTGCATCGACAAAGAGGCTTTTGAGAGTACAGAAACTTTTCGTGTATGTGCAATGTGGGGGTAGCAGTGGGGGACATCTTTGTGGAGCACGGCAAGCGCCTCTGCCCACTGAGCCATCTCACCTGGGTCGCCCGTGATGTCCTTTTGCTTATTTA